AAGCATGTCATTCTTCAATAAAATATAATGTATACCCAAATTGAGGCATTTATTCATTTGTGTAGGAAATGAGTTAACTGAAATACTGTATAAAGTGAGTGAAGTTTATCAAGCAAATTACTCAAAGCAATGTTACTTATTCAATATTTTCATGTCAGAAAAGTAAAAATCTAATGTCACTCTAGTGCATTATTTTTTGCTAGGTAGTTTCAAAATTAAGATATAATCATTTTTGAAATATCTAATTTCATGCTTGTTTCTACCCTCAGATGACTGTAGTTATGCTTCATAATACAAGAAATGTAAATGCATATCCCCCAAATACCAGGGAGTATAAAGAACCTTACATTCTCCTTTCAATAGAGAAAATATCAAGGACTTCTTTTTAAATATTTGTAGGAAAAGGAAACATAATGATAATAAAAATAATCTGTTTAATGGTTAAAGTAGTGGAGCTGTGTAATTATAATCAATAGGAAAACCCCAAAAGTTTATTTTTTATTATCCAACTTTTAAGCAGAGCGGTATGTAAATAAAATGGTTTTATTAGCAAAAAACATATTATATTAGTGTATATTTTGAAAACATTCTACCAGAAGTTTTCTGATTTGGTTGGTTTGTTTGCTGGTCTTAAAATAATCTCTTGCCCTGGACACCTTTCAGAGGGTAGCTTGGAGTGTTCACCATCACTCTCAAACTCCCGGAGGTATTTAAACTTTTCTGCAATCAGAGCAAGTAATTTCATGTTTCATGACTAATACATTACCCGTCAGTGTGTACACCAAAACAGAATTATATTATATCACAGTTGTTGACATTCAGAGCAAGCAAACAGAAAAACAGCATGATAGAACTCAGATACTGTAATGCATTGTTTCTTCCATAAATTTTAAATTTAAATTTCCAGATTACAGCTAAATAAAGCAAAGCAGAATCATTGCTGTGTTTACCAGGTTCCCAGTAACGTTTACTGAGACATTATTTTTTAAGGTAGTTTTGTTTTGCTTGCTGTTATAATGGGAAATCCAGATAACAAAATTAATAGTCTTAGTCTAATTTTGAAATCACAAATCACTAAATTTGGGGGGAAATGAATAGAATTATGTTATTGCTAGAAAGTTATATCTCACTGCAGATTTCAATAGTTGATGTCCTGGAATCAGTCTAGGACAAGAAAAATAACATGTTATCAAAATCAGATGGTTGTGTTCTAGGAATCTTATTTGCCAAGCATGCTACAAGGCTAAATTCACATACCAAAATATAGATGTACTTAATCAAAGTTACTGAACTTAACCATAGTGAATACTAATTCTATTTCAGGCCAATTCAGATTATTGTTATTATTTGAATTGATGTATCACATATCTACAGCATGATTTCATCCATGAATTATAATTTTCCAAAAGATTCACCTTTTTTTTACCTTATTTCTGAAATTGAAAAACTATTTCAACTCAAATCACAAAAAAAAAAAAAAATTTATAGTTTTTTTGGAGGGGAAAAATGAAATACTTCAAATATATGTGTAAGACAGTAACTAACATATAGAAGGCCCTCAAAAATGGTGCTTTTATTTTTATTCTCCTCAAGGTTTTTTTAATACCTTTATTTTATTTAGTTATTCATTTCTATGTGGTCCTGAGGATACAACCCAGGGTCAGTGCTCTACTGCTGAGCCACAACCCCAGCCCCCTTCTCTCTGTTTTTTTTAAATGCAAAGTCTTCACATATTTTAGTGGAACAGTTGTGTTAAGCAAGACTTGTTTTTGCCAATACATATCTTCTGTATGAAAATTAACAAAACTGATTCTAAAATAGCTATATTTATTTATTAGTTTTGTTGGGTCATATATACCAAATGTTATCTGATTGCTCTGGGATTTGTTAATAGAAATTAATCTGTGAAATCATCTTAAATTTCATGTTTTATATTTCTACTACTATATGTACAAAAATGCCTTCCATAATACATATAGAAACTTATGCCAAAGAGGAGCATCATATTCATCAGGTATAGACGGCTTCATGCAATGGATGCACACCTATATAATGAATGTTCCATATTTTTTTCCTGAGCTCCACAGTAAAAAAGAAAAATCTGAAGAAAGCATTTGATACCGTTTTTAAAATGTAAAATTTATGGAAGGTTCCTTGTATCTTACATCATACTAGAGCTGTTTTATTACTCTACATGCATATTTCTAATCAGATGAGTAATGAACTAAATGTAAATATCACTGCAAGACCTCCTTTTTAAAGTTTATTTTCTCACTTTGTTTAAAATAAATTGGAATATTTCTGTTTCCTTCTAACAGTAATATTTTATTTTCACTGTCAGAATTTCCTTAAGGAACGACAGATTTTTATTCAATTGACTGACACTTCCATCTGTTTTGTGTGATGTTTATTTAGAAAGAATACACCTGCTGTATTTGAAGTTTTAAATATGTAATTTTTTTCAGTTTTCACTACTCTTTTAGTATTCTGCAATATCAGTGAATATAAGATTCCTTTCTTAGTGTTAATTACCACAACTTGAAGAATATAGAGAGAGTAAAGAGTATTGTGAATGTAACACAAATGTAAAATTCAAATGATATTTAGTATTAATCTCGCTAAGTTCATGAATTCATGTTGAGAAGATATTTACTAATTAATATGAAAGAACTATAAGCCAATGACAAAATGTGTAATTTATTTATTTTTAAGATGTGAAAAAAATCAAATAAGTCACCTGATACTCACTGATTTTAAGTTAGTGCTTTTAATTAATAAAAACCTAACCATGACCAACAACTCATTCACAGTTGTACATGCTTTTAGTATTTTACCTAACTCATGAAGCTATTTGTCCTATGCTTAGGAAAAAGTCTCTTCACTGTATAAAATATAGTGACATAATGGGAAGGAATTTTTAATTTTATTTACTTCTTAATAATTACAAATTATCAACAAAAAATGGAAAGATGGATATTTTCAAAATACTTCATTTTTTATATATCCATACCTTCCTTACTGTATGATCATATACTCAAGTAAAATTAGTGTAGCTCATAAAATGTATCTGAACCTTTGTAAACAGTTGAAATCAGAATTTGCTGTATTAACAAAATTCATAAGCCAATCTATTAAAAATGATAATTCACAAATGTAATTCACAAACCACATCATTTATATACTGTCTTAAGAAAGTCACAGGTTTATCCCAGAAAAAAAATTCTATCAGGATGTTCATCAAAGAAAGTGTTATTAATAAAGAATACCTTACTGTTGAGAAAGGTCTTCGATAAGAGAATAATAAGGATAAGAATTAGAAAATAGAGTTCCCTTTTGAGTCATTAAGCATAAAGAAAAATACAACCTGAGGAGATGTCAAGCATCTACTATGTTTGTCCTCCAACAAATGCAGAGAAACATGGAAATCATCAGAACTGTGAAAATAACTGCTGGCCTGCAAATTCATTCAAAGCATTACAGGAACTCTACACAGAGCCTACGGTTCTATTTTACAAATTAATTATGGATCTGTTAGGAAAAAATGCACCCACAAGTGAATTAGTACCTTACATTTTCTGTGACTAAAAAAGAAAGTTTCAAGTTATTGTATTATTTAACTATGTATATCCTCAAAAGATCTCCATTCTTAAAACAATTTCCAAAATTACGGTAAATTATTTGCACTATTATCTTGAATCTGGAAGACTTCTTTAATATTTTCAGATTTTGAATCTCTTTTGACTTTCACATTGCAATCATTTTATTAAACCTAAATATGTTTTCAAATCACTTTATTTACTCAAATAGATTAATACTTTTCTAAGACCTACACAGACAAAATAATAAAGTCAACATGTGACATGACTTTGAAAGAAAAATGTAGATAAATTCTATAACTTTATTAAGAAAACAACAATACTTATATGATTTAATATACTCATGAACTTTGAGAAAAAAATTGTCTTCATTGTTCTATGGAATATAGAATATAAAAAGCATGTATGTAGGCTTGTTTTCACAAATGAATTGAATTTAAAAATTATTTTGCACAGATTTCTTGGATCTTTATATGCTCTTATTTCCCTTCCTGCACATTAGAGAAAGAAAAATTACTCCATTTCCCAAAAGGCATTATCTCTCTCTCTTTTTTTTTTAGTTTTAGGTGGACACAATATCTCAATTTTATTTTTATATGATGCTGAGAATCGAACCCAGTGCCTCACACATGCTAGGCAAGCGTGCTACCACTTGAGCCACATCCCCAGCCCAAAGGCATTATCTTTTAAGAATGTCTTCTGAAGGGCTCTGAATACCATGCATAAATATGTACACATTTAACTGATTATCTAAAATAGAGATCTTATATAAATTTCAGTTGCTGGCTTGAAATTGAGAATGAGCATCCTTCGTTTTTATAATCCCATTATTGCTATATTGTGTGAATATAGATTTATTGTACCAAAATAATTTTGAGTTCCTAATCTTCAAATTCTTCATTGTGGAGACGTGTAGGCATTATGGGATATGGGTGAGAGGATAACTTGCTGCCATTTAATTACTTTTCTCCAAGTGAAACTGGGGTTCCCAACATCATTAGTGTTAAAATATGTTCAATAGATTCTAAAAAGCTTTATTGTATGGTAGCTAGCACAGATCTTTCTGATCCTCAATACACAATAGTAGTGAAGACAATGCTATAACCCTTGTTATAGAGGTTTCCCAGTCTATTTTCTAGCATAAAGCATTATACTGTCATCTACAGACAAAACTGCCCCCCTATTATAATCATGATTCTGCACCCATTTTTCCTATAACCAACAGTCATTTTATTCTGATTTTCTATCAGTCTTAATTCAATTCATATATCTATTTGGATGTTTCCATACAATATGATCGTTTTGATCCCTCTTGGAGGTCAATAGTTTCTGTAAAGTTCTACATCAACTGAAAATAAGAAGAACATAAATTTAGAAAGGTCAGTTAGAAATGGGATTACCTACCGGTCTGGTGTGTACAGACACAGGAGTCTTGAAGGTTGTCACTGGATAGCTGCACTCAGAAACACTATAGGGATCAGAACTGCTGGAGGAACACTTGGAGATGGAATCACAGGCCACGAAAGTGTTATCAAGAGGCAGTTCCTGGATGATGTGGTGCTTTGAATTCAGGGGCGTTTCAGGCTGAATCTGGAAGGCTGGCTGTGGAGACGCAGATTTGTAGTGTCGGGCCAAATCAGGGCTGTCAGGCTTGAAGGTGGTAGGCGTAGTGCCCCAGTTGTATTTGCCCATGGTTTGCTCTTCCAGTTCAATGGGAAGGTCTAGTGTAACACTGTTTCCATCATTGTCAGCATCATCTGCCTTTGTTTCTTCAATAGTGACAAAGTTAAGCAGCAAGTTCTTAGGGGCATGCTTCTTCTTCTTCTTCTTCTTCTTTTTCTTCATCATTATCATCTGCCTGTTTTCTGGGTTTGGAGTAACCCATTCAGAATTCTGCTTGTTTTTCTGAGCAGCCTTAAGGTGTGGTGGTTGGCGACATCTTACTACAGCAGTGATGAAAATCACTAGTATAACAGTTATAGTGCCAGCAACAATGGCAACCATGATCTTGACATAGTCACTGGTTGGTGAGGATGTATCAGCTGTCTCAATATTTTGGGTCGCTGGTGCTTCAATGCTTTTGCGCACCAATTCATGAATGAGTGTAGCGTTGGTCACTGTCTCATTCACAAACAGATTGACAATTACAACATTGAAGAGAGAATCAGGTTGTCCTAAGTCTTTAGCTTTAACTACCAATCTGTGTAAACCAAGATCTGCAACCACACATTTCTCCTTCAGTGTGATGTTGCCAGTTGTTTGGTCAATTACAAACAGTCCCTTTGTGTTTCCCCCTACAATGCTGTAGTGAAGCTCTGCATTCATTCCAGTGTCATTGTCAATGGCAACTACCTTAAAGACCACTGTGCCTGGATTAGTGGATGGGAGAACCAGTTCATAAGAATAGTTGGAAGGAGGGACAACAAACACTGGTTTGTTGTCATTGACATCAACTACATTTATGGTTACTTTTGCAGTTGAAGAGCGTGATACCCTACCACCATCCTCTGCCTTTACATAAAAAGTGTAAGATTCTTGTTTTTCTCGATCAAATGAAATATTTGGCCTAATGACACCAGTCTGTGGGTCAATGGTGAAGTCATCATTCACATCTAAAATGGAGAGAGTGACTGCAGAATTCTCTCCATAATCAGGATCAGTTACGGTGATTAGTCCTACTGTGCCATGTCTTGGAAGGTTTTCTGGGACATAGAAGTTGTACTCATTGTGAGTGAAAATTGGGCTGTTATCATTCTGATCAAGGACGGTTACTAAGACTGTGGCATTAGTCATTAATGGTGGCATCCCATTATCTTTTGCCAGAACAGTGAAATAATATTTTTCCTGTTTTTCTCTATCTAATTTTTTCACTGCAGTCAGAATGCCTGTTCGATGATCCAGGTTGAATTCAGATGGGGCATCAGTACCTAGAAGGTAACTGATTTCAGCATTACGTCCACTGTCTGCATCTGTTGCACTTATTTTGGTCAGCTGTGTGCCAGGGGAGTTATTCTCAGGAACAGAAAGACTTATGAAGGGCTGGGTGAAAACTGGAGCATTGTCATTTTCATCTTTCACTTTGACGAGAAGCATTGATGACTGATTCAAAGGAGGTTTGCCAGCATCTGCGGCCAGTAATTTAATGGCATATTCTCTTGTGGACTCATAGTCAAGATATGCAGCAGTTTCCAGGAGGAACTGATTACTGAATACTGGCCTTAATCTGAAAGGAACTTCATGATCTGTGAAGCATGTCACTCTACCATTATGGTCGGCATCCTTATCCATTACAGTAATGAGAGCAACTTTGGTGTTAAGTGGAGCATTTTCTGAAAGAACCACAGTGCCATTGGTTGGATTGATAATATATCTTATATCAATTGATGGGACATTATCATTGATATCTGTAACATTTACCAGGACCATTGCTCTTGCTGGCACTGATCCACCATCACTTGCCAAAACCAGTAACTTATGACTTGGTGATTCTTCTCTATCCAGGGGTTCTTTGACTGTGATGAGTCCAGTGGTGGTGTTAAGGTGAAATAATCTCTTGGCAATATTGGAGACTAGATTGCTGAAATAGAAGTGAATCTTGGCATTTTCACCTATGTCAGCATCTGTAGCATGGAGTTGTGTCACTGAAGTTCCTACAGGAGCATTTTCTGGTATACTAACTTCAATTTCCTTCTCCTTAAACACAGGGCGGTTGTCATTTGTATCAGCAACACTTACTTGCAAAATAGCAGTACTGGATCGTTGAGGAAAGCCACCATCTTCAACCTTTACTTTCATTACATAGGTATCCTTCTCTTCCCTATCTAACTCCTTTTGAACAATCAGTTGTGGCATCTTGTCTCCTTCTGGTGTCTCTATGACATCAAGCCCAAAAATATTTTGACCCTGGAAAACACATAATGAAATACACTTTTACTTATTTAATACAAAATAATATATGTTAACAAAATAATAATTATAATATATAAGTCAGATTATGTTATTTTATGAATTAGAACAATTTTCATTTTCTTAAATCACATGACATAGTAAGGTAAGTTCATAGGTGCTAGAAAACTTTGGGTCTAAGTCTCAACTCTGCCTAAAAACTAATATTATGACCACAAGCCAATGGCTTAAAAGTTGCAGGTATTTATAAAATTAAAGAGTTGTTCTAGAAGATATTCTGGAGGAGTTTTAGTTTGTACGATTTTATGATAATAAATGAAACCCATTTATACAAATTATTGAAATTTTCAAAAGGAAAACTTGTATAGAATTTTTTAAAGAGAGAGAGAGAGAATTTTTTAATATTTATGTATTTATTTTTAGTTTTCGGCAGACACAACATCTTTGTTTGTATGTGGTGCTGAGGATCGAACCCAGGCCGCACACATGCCAGGCGAGTGCGCTACTGCTTGAGCCACATCCCCAGCCCAACTTGTATAGAATTTTAAAAAGAATTGTCACTAAACTGCACACGATAAATGAAGCTAGAAGTGAATTACCCATGATCAATCCAACTGAATTAAAACTTTTTTTACACTTGAATTTATTGTTTAAGATACCTTTTTATGACCAAAAGAAACCAGAAAGTATAAAATACTCAGCCAAGGCAATAGCATACATAACATATAAATGTAGTTAAAACCTTTGGCAGATAAAGAAAAAACACAAACTCTGATTAGAATATAAACTTGGGTAAAGTGCATACAAATTTTCATTTATTTTCCTGTAGAAACATTATAAAAATGAAATTATCTTGGGAATTAATAATTAAATATTATTTTATTAAATCTTAATAAAAAATACAATGGACAAAAACTCACATGCTGAAATATCACATTGAAAAAGTTAGTATGGGGCAATACCTATTTTCTCTTTATGCCCATGAAGTCAAAATATGGGCCTGTCACAAAAAAGAGTCCTATCTCTGAACTATAGTAAGATGAACCCTACACAAATCGAAATATTGCCAGCTGACTGAGTAATTTGGGCTGGCTCTCAAAGAGAGATCTAACTAGTGTTACTTGAAGCATTTGAATAGAAATTAATAACATAAAAGTCACTGGAGGGTATGAAGAAAATACTGGAAAATAACCTTAAGCTTCCTATCAAATAACTGACTTAAGAATATATATGTATATATGAACAAACAGAAATATATAAGTAAATGATTTTAATTCATTAATACATTTTTAACATAAAAGTTGATGATTCATGGGAAGTGCCAGACACTGATCTTTCACTTAGGTGCTCTGTCATAAAAGAACAGGGAAACATCTTATTTTTTCATAGATTTTTATACCATTGTCTAAACAAGATCTTATAAAATAGAAGTTAATAAAAGATACCAGGTTTTCAGGGACTGTTAGTTGTCAGTTTATAAACATATTCCATATCACATTATCTATGTTTTATAGTTCTGGGGATTGAAGCCGGGGCCTCACACATGCTAAGCAAGAACTCTGCTATTGAACCAAATTCCCAGTCCCACATTATCTTTTAAAATTTAACTTAATTGTTATATTTGCTTATATGTAATTTAATATAATAATACCCTACTACACATATCTTTTTCCTCTTGTGAATTAAAGATATTTCTGCAAACTTTAGGAATTTTTCCTTTTTGACTCAGATCCACTTTTATTTTTTTTTAATTTTTATTGTTGGTTGTTCAAAACATTACAAATTTCTTGATATATCATATTTCACACTTTGATTCAAGTGGGTTATGAACTCCCATTTTTACCCCGTATACAGATTGCAGAATCACATCGGTTACACATCCATTGATTTACATATTGCCATACTAGTGTCTGTTGTATTCTGCTGCCTTTCCTATCCTCTACTATCCCCCCTCCCCTCCCCTCCCCTCTTCTCTCTCTACCCCCTCTACTGTAATTCATTTCTCCCCCTTGTATTATTTCCCCCTTTCCCCTCACTTCCTCTTGTATGAAATTTTGTATAACCCTGAGGGTCTCCTTCCATTTCCATGCAATTTCCCTTCTCTCTCCCTTTCCCTCCCACCTCTCATCCCTGTTTAATGTTAATCTTCTTCTCATGCTCTTCCTCCCTACTCTGTTCTTAGTTACTCTCCTTATATCAAAGAAGACATTTGGCATTTGTTTTTTAGGGATTGGCTAGCTTCACTTAGCATAATCTGCTCTAATGCCATCCGTTTCCCTGCAAATTCTATGATTTTGTCATTTTTTAATGCAGAGTAATACTCCATTGTGTATAAATGCCACATTTTTTTTTATCCATTCGTCTATTGAAGGGCATCTAGGTTGGTTCCACAGTCTTGCTATTGTGAATTGTGCTGCTATGAACATCGATGTAGCAGTGTCCCTGTAGTATGCTCTTTTTAATATCCTCAAAAAAAATAAAATACTTGGGAATCAACCTAACAAAAGAGGTGAAAGACTTATACAATGAAAACTACAGAACCCTAAAGAGAGAAATAGAAAAAGATCTTAGAAGATGGAAAAATATACCCTGTTCATGGATAGGCAGCACTTATACTTTAAATTACATATAAAAATACAATTTGCTTTGGGCTGGGGATGTGGCTCAAGTGGTAACGTGCTCGCCTGGCATGCACGGGGCGCTGGGTTCGATCCTCAGCACCACATAAAAATAAAATAAAGATGTTGTATCCACTGAAAATTGAAAAATAAATATTAAAAAAAATCTCTCTTTCTCTCCTCTCTCTTGCTCTCTCTCTCTAAAAAAAAAACACTACAATATGCTATGGTAGAAGCATTAGATGCTTATTATGAAATTTAAGGTAGCATATCAGAAATATTAATTTAAATCATCAGTTTGGTAAATTGTGATTTAAAAAATTATATGAATTAAACAATGTGTACTTGTTATTATATTGTTTTTAAATGATACAATATAATTTTATATGTCAATTAAATGAATAAAAAGAAAAAGTGAGCATTCATTCCATTTATATTTTGTCAATATAAAACAATAAATAATCTGACTTTTCTTTGAATAGACAACAAGAGAAAAATTTTTCATGTTTTAACTATTACAGTGTAAAAATTAACAAGCCAGAATCTATTATCTCTAATATGGCATATTTCAAGAAAAGGAGAATTTTATGACAAAAATATCCTATATGAATACGGTATACATTATGAAAACTGACCCAAAGAAGCGATTAATCATAATTAATGACTTATTTTTGAAATATTATTCCAAAAGGCTTTTATGTGAGCTCAAATCAAGATGTCTCATTCATGGATGGAAAAATAGTTTCTAAATTGAAATTCATAAACATCTCTAGTACTTAACACTATTTTGTTAATTCTTAAGATGCCAATATTAAGTGGCTATCATAGTCAGAGTCTTCTTCTCAGTACAGGGCACATATGGTGGTGAGTAAACGTTTTACTAACATAATGGGAATTAAATTCTAGCTAAAGTGAAAGACAAATCAATGACTAAGTACTTAATTATGGTATTGATATTAGCAGATTAATAAAAATTATATTTTAATAAGAGCTCTAAAGGAAGATTATAAGGTATTGGGTTATATAAAGGGAAAATAACATATAAAATATACCATAAAATAATGTGTAAAGGTTCTGAAGTTATGTTTATGTATTTCCTGCTCATATTTTAAAAAATTAATCCTGTGTTTGCCCAAATTTTGAGTTGGGCTTTGCTTTGCCATGAAAATTCAGGCAAGTTTATGTCGGTTGAAAACTTCAAGAATAGCATACTCACTGTCTTTTATTTATTTGAAATTGTAGTAAAAGACAAAACTTTCTAATAATCAAGGTGATACTGAAGTGTATGTATACATACACACACACACACACACACACACACACACCAGCTAATGGATAATGTTCCTATTACTCTTCTTTCTTCTATGACTGCTCTGTTCAATATGATACTGATTAGTTCTAAGGGAGTATTTAAATTTAAACTTTAATTAATAAAAATTAGATAAAATTGAAAAATCATTTCTTAGTTACACTAGCCACATTTTAAGTTCTCAATAGCGACTGTGTTGGAAAGCAGAAAATGAACATTTCCATTATTGTACAAGGTTCTATTAAATCATAGTGTTCCAAGATGCCACAATGTTTTTGTTTGTCAAGAAAACTCTATGTCCACGTAGGCGAGTGCATGTATAATGCTTCCTCCCCACAAATATTTAGATCCCAACCAGTGACCTTCCAGTTGAAGTATTTAAACTTTTATTGTTCAAGGAATTTGAGGCAATACATGACAGACATAATTTTCAACAAACTTTGTTTTTTAAACTTTTCAAAAATATTTTTGGTATCTGTGATCGAATCCAGGTGTGCTTAAAAACTGAGACACATCCCCAGTCCTTTTATTTTATTTTTTTTAATTTTGAGATAGGGTCTTTCTAAGTTGCTCAGGGCTTCACTAAATTGCTGAGGCTATCTTCGAACTTGTGATCCTCCTGCCTCAGCCTCCTGAGCTGCTGGGATTAGAGGAGTGCACCACCTCTTCTGGATAAAAAAATATTTTAGAGAGATATCTAAGTTTATGTAAAATATGGTGTCAATATGAGCTTGGAATCATTGAATGACTATTCCAAGAATGGTTTGTCCAACTCCTTGAGAAATGAAGAATAATTAACACAGAGAATCAACATTAGTCCTACCCCATTGTAGTTAGCTCAACTGAAATGCAAACATGAACAATGAAAAAAATTAAAGCCCTTTGCCCTTCATTTGATCAGGACATGTTAGTGAAAAAAATGAGAAAGGAAAAAAGAAGATGTATAGTTCCTTAATCCATCTTCTCCCTTACTTTAACAAAGATCTAAGGTATATACAAAAAGAAGTAAAAAATAATCCAGATAATTGACTTATAAGTACCCAAAATTCTAAACCTACCTAAAGTTATTA